ATGATCAAAATTGCAATCACCCTTAATAAATCCTCAATAACAATAAAAATGGCCGTCATCTCCCTTTTTAACATGGTTTTTGCGAGTCTACTGGAGCGACCTTGTAACCTCGTAGCTCCCCCTTGTTTTAATTTTACAAGCAAGTATGAGATCAGCAGGCCCGTAGCTGGTTGGGCACAGGTGTACGTGCCCCCTTTTATCCCAGGGTCACAGGGGGGGGGACGAACTTTATGAGACATAAAAAAAGGAAACAAAAAATAAAAATTGCCATAGAATCTAATTTTGTTACCAATATTTTTTCTAAAGTATTATTTGTTATTCAAATCAAAAAACAATTGAGTGCTTTCCGAACTAAATTATTTGGGATTTTATTTCTATCCTATCATTTCATTATAGGGTTTAGATAATTTTTTCGTATTTTGAAAAGCTTATCCTTTTCCCTTCTTTTCTTAAATAAATGATTCTAACCGTACTGCAGAAAGTAACATGGAGACCAATTTAAATTATATACAAAATGGTAATATAAATAAATTTGTTACATATGTACATATTCATCACACAAGCGTAGTCAGCATTTCCTTTTGCATCTATTTAAGAATATGAAATTAGCCCTGTATATTATGTACTTTTGCATCTATTTAAGACTATGAAATTAGCCCTGTATATGATGTACTTTTGCATCTATTTAAGAGTATGAAATTAGTCCTGTATATGATGTACTTTTGCATCTATTTAAGAGTATGAAATTAGCCCTGTATATGATGTACTTTTGCATCTATTAAAGAGTATGAAATTAGCCCTGTATATGATGTACTTTTGCATCTATTTAAGAGTATGAAATTAGCCCTGTATATGATGTAATTTTGCATCTATTTAAGACTATGAAATTAGCCCTGTATATGATGTACTTTTGCATCTATTTAAGAATATGAAATTAGCCCTGTATATGATGTACTTTTGCATCTATTTAAGAGTATGAAATTAGCCCTGTATATGATGTACTTTTGCATCTATTTAAGAGTATGAAATTAGCCCTGTATATGATGTACTTTTGCATCTATTTAAGAATATGAAATTAGCCCTGTATATGATGTACTTTTTCTGCAGACTTAAATTACTGAGTTCAAATTTCTCCAGACTTAAGACTTTTTTCTAGGTTTTTCTTTTCCTCAGATTTATTTTCTTCCGGACTTTTATTCCTGAGAATTTATTGACAGCCCCCCATACTATTTTAGGAAAAAAACGTCCCAGGAATCTAAAACACAGGACTTTAATTCCAATGACTTTTTTTCCAAGGACTTCAGAAAATTCAAACTTTTTTCCAGAGTTTTTATTTCCAGGTTTTTTCCTGGAACTTTTTTCACAGGATTTCCTTACATAGATTCATACAAAATATGGCCAGGTTTAGAGAAGCTGTTACTTATCCTCAAGCTTGCTGGAATTTTTGTTCAAAATTTAGTTTGGAGAAAACTGAAGATTTTAATGCTTGAGCTTTTCTTGATCTTTACAGGCATTCACATTCTTCACTTTCCCTGTATCAAAACTAAGTATTGGCTTATTCGCCATTAAAAAATTTCAGAATTACATTTATTTATAGTTTAACTCAAATTTCTAAATTTTACATCCATTTTTGTTTTGTTTTGATGCAAATAGCTTCTCAATACCACTTAAGGGAAAGAAAACAGGCAAAATATCTTTCTTAATAACCTTTAATGTGTGATAAACTAAAGATTTGATTTTTAGTCCGAATTCATTAATTTAAATTCCATTTCTATTTTATGTTGTATAATGTGATGACTGGATATTTTCATTTTTAATTAAATATGTTTTAAAATACAATATCTAGAGACATTAATTGTGAACCTAAGTCTCGAAATAAGATACTACAAATTCGAAAATTAATTTTGAATTTTTCTCCAAATACAGTGTATTTTCTTCCTCATACATAAAATTTTGTTTAAATCCTTTCATCATTCTTCAGACCATGTAAGGTCACATTTGCACGTTTTTAAAATACAGGGTGTCCCAATAAACATGGGAATTCAGTGACGAATTCGATATCGTCTTTTTAAATAATTCTTTGATTTAGTATAGAGATACCTACTGAGAAAGCTGTAATCTGTAAGAGTTTCGTCTGCTACGTTCACATTTTTTTGTTTATGTTTTGAATGCATACGGTTGTACTTAGTAAAACAAGAAAATTGCAGTATACAAACAGAGTAAACTTGTCCGTCTTCACTGTTCATCTTGCGGAGACATTATAAACACATCTTTACAGTCTTTTACCCTTTTTATGAAATGAACTCTAGCAGACATAACAATATTATGGCTTTTGAAATTAGGAATTACAATGCTAATTCATAACAAAAACGATATTCAATTCGTCACTGAATTCCCATGTTTTTTGGGACACCCTGTAGATTTACAATTAGGTTTAAGCCTATACCCCTTTCATTTTTTCTTCTCAGTTCCTTTGAGATACAATTTAAGTGTATTTAAAAGGAAAGCAATTCATCGTCATGAAATTTATATTTGACTGTATTTGATTGGTTTAGATTTCAAAGGGACAGTTCACGGTAAAATAGATGTAAATATTGAATGTAATTAAATGTAAATTTGTCGTATTTGCTTTTTTATACTTTTTTCTTGAGTAAATACTTTTTAAGTAATATAAATATTTTACGCTACTCTTGACTGATTTTAATTAGAGATCAAAATATGACTTCAACAGTTCTACGTCTTTGTGTCTGCTAATAAAAGGAGTAAGGACTAAGTGAACCACGCATATTTTTATTGCTCAAAGTGTTCAAGGGATATTTTAGAACATTATTAAGAAGTATTATTTTACAGTTAAATCTCAATGTTTAACAAGAAGGGGGGGGGGGCAGGGGTGGAATGGAATAAGCTGAACCAAGAAAACAAATGATATATTTCTAAATACTTGTCTGAAGTACCAAAGTATTCCAAACTAACTGAAAACTAATACGTTAAAGTGTCAACTTACATCCTAATACCATTTTCTGCTCAATATTGGCTTTTTACATTGGGGGAAAGGGGGGTAACCCACTTAACAGTATTCCTTTTTTTACACAACGGATTCAGGATAATCTGCAGGGTGTCCCACATCATATTAGATCATTCATAGCTCAAAATTGTGATTTTAGGGACTTATCAGAAAATTTAAAAATAATGAATCTTTTTTAAAAAATGTATAAGGTTTCTATAAAAGTTTTCTAGCAGAAAATACTAGGTTTTTCGAGTATTATGTGCGTATTTTTGCGTTAAAGCTTGGAAATAATCTAATATGATATGGGACACTCTGTAGATAAATAAGGAGATTTTAACAATCATTGTTAAAAGATGTTGGTGTCAACAGCAGCCCACTAAAGTATTAGTTTGGTCTCTGATTTGTGTTTTTAAATACCATTTAAAGAGTTTTCAGGAAAATTACCAGTTTTCCGTCAATCGGATTTCAGAACTTCAACATTTCTTTCACAAAGACTTCTCTAAAAAATGCTTAGGCGACCGAGCCTTATTTTGTCTGGAATAAGAGGTTTTGGTGAAAAATCAAATTTGCTGCCCCTCCCTGCTACCCCACTGTGGGAGGGATACCACACGCCGTCCTGTAAATTTTTTAAAGTTGAAATGCTCTGAACTATCAATAAACTATATGCGATTTTAATTAAAAATGAATTTTCCAAGTTAGATCGTAAAAATGCATCTATAAACAGTGAAGCAGGGATAAATGGGTAAAGGGGGTTAATCGCTAGATTTATGGATTAATTAACAACTAATAGACCAACATCAAACTTAATTATTTTTCTACAAAATATAAGAAATTCAATACAGGCAAAAGTTATTTTTTTAGAAAAAGTATAAAAACTTACATCTTTGCAAACTGATACAAAATTATATGCATTCGAAAACTGTAGTTTCAGAGAGCGAGAACATGCGCGTAACTCCTTTGGACTTCTGCCTCAGGGTTATTGAAAACGAAAAACCCCTAAATATTGAAAAAACGACATCTAGTGGTCTATCTGTGTTGTTTTTAAAAAAGTGGTGGTTACAAAAATAGGTGTCAATAAAAATCCCCAATTAAGCCTTTGGCTTTCAAAAGGCTCCGCACAAATCTGAACATTTTCACAAATTGAAAAAAATCTTAATGCAATATTTTTGATATTGATAATTTTTCAGGTTTTTTTTGGAGCCTTTAGAAATTTAAGATCATCTAATAAAAAAGTCAATAATCCCAGCACATCCGTGGATGGTAAAAATATTTAAAAACAGACAACATATTTATTTCTAAAAAACGGTTTATGGTTTTAGTTGTAAACTATTACTTATAATAGAATTGATATGGTAAAATCATACTCGATAAAATCAAAAAATATCAAGAAACAGAATCTTACAAAATTCGTACTCAGCAAACTTTGGTGGGAACATAAACAAGCCAAGTTTATCTACATTTTCTGTGGGTGAACGGTAAACATTGCAGAAAACAAAAATATGTGAGTTTTCTTTGAAATTTTTTTTCTTGAACCTAGCCAGGAACTAGCTTCTAAGTTCTATATTTTTGTTTAGATAAAAAGTGTACTGCAGTTTCTAGGAGTATTGTAAACAAATTCAGTGCTTTAGGTCAGATATTCCTACTGCGCAGAAACTGGAACTGAAATTGTATTCAAATAAATCTCTAGAAGTTCCTGGCATATTCCTCTAGAATAAATCTTTAGAAGTTCCTGGCATATTCCTTGAGAATAAATCTCTAGAAGTTCCTGGCAAATGCCTCGAGAATAAATCGCTATAAGTTCCTGGCATATTCCTAGAGAATAAATCTCTAGAAGTTCCTGGCATATTCCTTGAGAAGTAAAGCTATCTATGGCCGAATTTAAACAGTTTTAGCCACGGCTCAAATATGGTTGGTTCCACTCAAAAATACATTAATTGTTTTAAGATTTAAGCCGGCGCTCAATTGAAACCGGTTTTAGGCAGATTTGAGACGCGGCTCAAATTCATTAAATTTGGAGTCCATTAAACATTAAAAAAATGTGAAAAAAATAAGAATTTAGTTTTGAGATATGTTTGTCTACATTTTAAATTGGCGTTCTATTGTTTTAATTCAAACTACTTTAATTTAATCAGATCTTAGTAACATCACATTTTGATGCTACACCTTTAAAGAAACGTTCAAGGAATTTCAATCAAATTGAAAGCAGGGAAAAGAGGCAAAATGATATATCTTGATTTGTAATAAGGAGAAGTGGCAGATTCTATGAACTTTTAAATGCGACTGTAGATTTTTAGAAATATTTAGTGAACAAGTAAGTAATAAGATAAAATGTCATAAAATGGCAATGATAATAATCTTAGCAACCTGATGGTTCAAGTCTAATTATAAACTGAGATTTTAATCTTATTGAAAATTATTTATTGAAATTTCGAAGGTCTCCGGTACGGGTGGCAAAGATGTAGGGATTAGAAATCAGAGTTTGTGGCAAGACTCAATTTCTTTATCATTTAAAAAACTTTATTTTGTTTTCGATCCTACAGCACCATGTTTATTGGTACTCCCTGTCATATCAACAACGTTGTTTAAATATCATGATATTATGAATCAATAATATAATACATATAACCTTACACTACATGATTTATCAATATTATAATATTACTGGACATCACTTTTCTTTTAGATATGGTGCACTGTAGTCTGTTCTTTCTATAGAAATCAATTATACTTTAGTTTAATTTGTTTTTACGGCCGTTATGATTTAAAAATAATTAAAAAACAAATTTTAAAAGTAAAAATAAACAGCTGATTTGACCGGATATGAACAGCAAGTGTGTTTGGCCGCCATTACTAGATGTTAATGAAGACGACTGCTCCAACTGTTGGAAACTCAGGCTAGAATCTGAAACATAAATGTAGGATTATATTTCAATATTTCATTATATTTCAATAAGTTCCACGTTTTTTTCAAATTCTTCCCTCTCCTCGTGTTTAGTGTATATTTCATTTAGTTTTATTAATACCACTTTTCTTTGAGGTTGACCAAAATTTTACAGTATTTGTTTTAAATTCCCTGCCCCCCCCCCCCCCTCCCAGTTTTGTTCGATTATTTTTTAACTTTTTTAATATATTACATTTGTTTATTGTTATATGTTATAATTTAACTTAATACACATGTGTGCAAGAAGTGGTTAAATAACGTAGACGCAGTTCAACCACGTCCTCAGGTACTCAAAGTTGAAAAGAAGTAGTTCAATTTAGTTTACGAAGTTAAACTTTATCTCGCTATTCATTAAATCTGGTTCAAGACCCGCAAGTCTAAACGGTTTAAAAACGGGTTCAGTGCTCTAATCCGGAAATGATCCCAGAATTTGCTCGGATCAAGTTCAGATCAAACTGAATCGAGCTATTAGACTCGCAAATCTATTAAAAATCTGTAATTGTAACAAGTGACCCTCCATGCAAAGATGGCAAGCATGATTTACAGCGGTACTTTAGAAACCTTATATGATCAAAAACATGGAAGATAACGTGGTTCTTCTCACTAAAAAGTGTTTACTTCTTGCTCCAATTTTCCAGAGAAATTACACAATTAAAAATAAAAAAATTTCAAAAATAAATTTTAAGTCATATTTTATCGGACAAAACTTTCAAGGGTTACCTCTGTAAATCGGCAATTGCCATCTTTCAATGGAGGGTATATTGAAATCACAATTGTATTCCCATTAAAGGTATAAATATATATGAAATATATCTTTTAGTTTGCCTAGAGTATAAAGATTGGTTTAATGAATAATAGATTATTGAATCTGTCATTATTTTCCTGATATATTAATTAGTATAAATAAATATATTAATATTCAAGTATAATTCCTGATGTGTAAATTATAGCAGCCGAGTTCCATTTAAACTTAATTGATACTCTGTGTATTTTATATTCATTAACGAATTATACTTTTAAATTTAAAATACCAATGCTTCTTGTTCTTTTAACAGAAAATTTGAGAAATGTTATCTTTCAAAATACAACAGGAGTGTCTTTTAAATTTCTAGGCACCTCTGGTTTATCGTAATTTTTAGATTCTTTATGTAATTGCTGAAAATTATCTGTTTAAACTTTTATTCAAATACCATAATACTTATATATAGACTTGTCGTATAAACCACCATACTGATAGCGCATGACTTGATAATGAGATAGATAGTCCCTTTAATAAATTGGACATGTTCGGATACGGATTATAAATTTAAAGATACTAATAAAACTGAACTGAAAACTTTAGAATTGGTTATCCATAATCCCGATCAATTATCCGGAGATTAATAACAAGGGGAGAACAAGCCTTATTTAATCTCGAGATCAAGAAAAAGAGGAGATCAAGCATTGATCTCAATATCCACCATTCTAAAGTTTTCAGCTCTTATTATATTTAAAGATGCTAATAATACCAAAGTTTCTAACTGTGTTTTACCTGCAGAAACATACAATCGTATTGTATCATTCCCACTGTTAGATGGAGCACATGTATATTCTCCAGCATGCTCCATCCTTGTCCTCCGTATATCCAGCCTCGACATCGTAGTGTTGGGTGAGGCCAGCCATAGTTGGGAGACATCAGGGCCAATTATAGAGGTTGTTACGCGCACTCCGGTCTATAATATTTCAGGTATATTTACACGCACTCCAGTTTATAATATTCCATATATAGTTACGCGCGCTCCATTCTATAATTTTCCAGATATAGTAACGCGCACTGAAGTCTATTATATTCCAGATATAGTTACGCGCACTCCAATCTATAATATTCCAGATATAGTTACGCGCACTCATATCTATGATATTCCAGATATAGTTACGCCACTCTAGTCTATAATCTTCCAGATATAGTTACGTGCACTCCAGTCTATAATATTCCAAATATAGTTACGTGCACACCAGTCTATAATATTCCAGAGATAGTTACGCACACTTCAGTCTATAATATTCCAGATATAGTTACGCGCACTCCTATCTCTAATATTCCAGATAAAGGTACGCGCACTCCAGTCTATAACATTTCTTTTGAATTCCTTTATTGTCACGCAGTATGCATATTTCCGTGCAGGTCAACTTTTAGACAGAAAAGCAAGGATAAATCAATCAATTTTGTCTTGACAAATGTTTAAAGGGCGCCGTTGTGAATCGGGAATGGCATTTTACAAATTAAAGTTAAAGTAAAATTATTGGACAGTCCACGGTAGTATTTAATTAAGTTCGCGAAATTTAATGTCTTGACTTGATTTATTTCAATTTATTCTAAAAAGCAAATTTGAGTAAAATTCCTATAGTATCTATTTGTTTAGGAAATTAAAACAATATTTCTTTGTTTTGATATTTGGAAATTGAAATTGACCTGGAAATTGATCATGGTTTGATTCTAACCTTGTAATTGATCATGGTTTGATTCTAACCTAATTGATCATGGTTTGATTCTAACCTAGAAATTAATCATAGTTTGATTCTATCATGGAAATTGATCATGGTTTGATTCTAACCTGGAAATTGATCATGGTTTGATTCTAACCTGGAAATCGATCATGGTTTGATTCTAACCTTGAAATTGATCATGATTTGATTCAAACCTGGAAATTGATCATGGTTTGATTCTACCCTTAAAATTGATCATGGTTAATTCTAACCTGGAAAACGATCATGGTTTGATCCTAACCTGGAAATTGATCCTGGTTTGAGTCTAACTTTGAAAGTATCATGATTTGATTCGAACCTTGAAATTGATCATGATTTGATTCTAACCTGGAAATTGATAATGATTTGATTCTAACCTGGAAATTGATCATGATTTGAGTCTATCCTAGAAATTAATCGGTTGGATTCTAACCTGGAAATGAATCATGTTTTGATTCTAAACTGGAAATAGGTCATGGTTTGATTCTAACCTTGAAATTAATCATGATTTGATTCAAATCTGGAAATTGATCATGGTTTGATTCTACCCTTAAAATTGATTATGATTTGATTCTAATATGGAAATTGATCATGATTTGATTCTAACCTGGAAATTGATCATGGTTTGATTCTAACCTGGAAATTGATCATAGTTTGATTCTAACCTGGAAATTGATCATAGTTTGGTTCTAACCTGGAAATTGAGCATGATTTTATTCTAACCTGGAAATTGATCATAGTTTTATTCTAACTTGGAAATTGATCATGGTTTGATTCTAACCTGGAAATTGATCATTGTTTGATTCTAACCTGGAAATTGAGCATGATTTGATTCTAACCTGGAAATTGATCATAGTTTGATTCTAACCTGGAAATTGAGCATGATTTGATTCTAACCTGGAAATTGATCATAGATTGATTCTAACCTGGAAATTGATCATGGTTTGATTCTAACCTGGAAATTGATCATGGTTTGATTGTGATACCAGAATACAAACTCGGGAGTTCCCACATTATCTCTAATCAATCAATCAATACATTAATCAGAATCCTTTCAAATCAGTTTCAAGGAAAAACTAGAAGAAAAACTTCAGATATCTCTGGATTTATCATTAACATTAATAAATACAATCCATTCAGGTAAAGCGATGTAGCAACATTTTGGTTTCTAATTTCCTCTGTATAACAGTTTATATACTAGAACCTGCTTATATATGATGTTATGTTTTTAAAAAAGGGAGAAGCTGAAAAGCCAATATATTTTAAATGAATGAAAAAAGAAATAAAGTTAATAGTTAAAAGTTAAAAAAAAATATTAACAGTGCTTTTTTTTGTTATAACAGGTAAATCAACGTGGAAAACACAGGAAATATATTAAAATATAGTATTTTACATATTATACGGACATTTTGGAGATTAGTTTCGAAAGAATTGGAAACAGTAGGAAATCAATTCCCATAGAAACAGAAATGAATTGAACACTTCTTATAAACTATAATTTTATAACGCTTTAATGAAAATCCGCCAAATAGAATATTAAACCGGGTTTTTTGAATTCAACACAGTGGAAAATAAGATGCAACTTGTATCCGAAAGCTCAAGTCGTAAATAAGGTCCAACGACAGCTTAGACCCGAGCCGTATTTCCCCGAGTTTTTTAAATCGCGGACTCAGATTTGAAAGATATTAAAATAAAAAATAAGTTTTATGAGAAAAGTATTCTGTGTTTTTTTTTAAGTCTTTTTAGTTTGATGTTATATAACTACCCAGTTTGCACTGCACAACGTAGATAAATTGTCTAAAGTTCAGATCATTTGCATTTAATTAATAGATTTAATTTAGTATTTTTCATTCCTGAGTTCACACGTTATTTGAACAAGATCTCCGACCTTGCCATGCTTCTCCCTGCTTCCCAGTATCCTTGCCTAAATACTCAATATTTAATTAGGTTTAATTGAAGCTATAGACGCCATTTCAAGTGGTTCAATACATTTTAATAAACATGTCCGATTCACAGTGGTACCCTTTAAAACTTTGTCTGATCAAGGATCAATGCAATATCATTTTTCTTTCTTCTAATAATTTATCATTTTCAACTGACTTGCGGAGAAAGATAGGTTACATTTAAGTGTCGTCAGGTTTGTTTCCCCCCTGCAATCAAATTATAAAATGTTCACACCTAGAAATAAAAATGTTAGAGCTGCACAGCACTTGTTTCTAAATAAGACTTGGCGTCAGTTTGTGAAAATCAAACAAACTACAGGTAAGAATTTGCGTCAATATGTGAAAATCAAACAAACTACAGGTAAGACTTTGTAGCCAGTTTGTGAAAATCAAACAAACTCCAGGTAAGACTTTGCGTCAGTATGTGAAAATCAAACAAACTCCAGGTAAGAATTTGCGTCAGTATGTGAAAATCAAACAAACTCCAGGTAAGACTTTGCGTCAGTATGTGAAAATCAATCAAATTCCAGATAAGACTTTGCGTCAGTATGTGAAAATCAAACTAACTCCAGGTAAGACTTTGCGTCAGTATGTGAATAATTTAGTTCACAGAGAGCTTTTGAAATAGGAATTTAAATTTTTTAATTGAGTTTTTGCCTGGGGATTTGCAACATGGAGGACAGTTGACAGTGTGATAGTTCCAGTTGATGTTGCAGCTTGACATTGGTATTCTCCAGCATCCCTCATCTGTACTCCTACTATCTAAACAAGTATATTGGAGTACATGTACTCCCCCTGTATCCTGTATCTGTACTCCAACTGTCTAACAAGTATATTGGAGTTCATGTACTCCCCACTGTATCCTGTATCTGTACTCCTACTATCTAAACAAGTATATTGGAGTACATGTACTCCCCTCTGTATCCTAAATCTGTACTCCAACTATCTAAACAACTATATTAGAACGTATATGTACTTAGAGATCGGTTCGTTTTCAATTTATTTCGTTCGTTTTCTCAGTGAAAAACAGTAAAAAAAAACGATATTTTTTTCAAAAATTTGTTGGAAAAAATTGATCGTTCTGTAAAAAACAATCGTTTATCAAGTTTGTTCAGTCTTGACTTATTCTAATCGAACTCTATGTTGTGTAAAACCGTCAGGCTGTATTGTTAGCAGTCGATGTTAAGCTTCAACTAGACATAGAACATATTTTAACTGCTAATTAATTATAAATGTAATCATATTTCCGTACAGTAATAATTGTGATATATAATCCGTAAAACTGTTGAAAAATCAAAAACCCTAACGGAAAATAAAAATATTGTGTTGTTAAAAAATGTTTGTTCGAAAGATTTGAAATTTTTAGAGCTGTTTTGTGGTTTCTTTGTTTTTGTTTTTTTACTGACGACTAGAACTAAAATTATTAAATATCCAACTGCAACACTTTTATCGAAAATCTTTTAAATCAATTTAAACATTTTTCATTTTACTTCATACAACTTTTTATGGTAAAGCGCAATGTATAAATCTTATTTTAGTCGGACACGTATTTCAAAATTACAAACTGTAAGAAAATAAACATTAAAAAACTTGAAACATAATATGTATAAATCTCATTTTAGTCGGACACGTATTTCAAAATTGCAAACTGTAAGAAAATAAACATTAAAGAACTTGAAACGTGTTTTATAAAAACCTTTGAAATTAAACAAAGCAAATTCTAGATTTTATATTTCAACTACTTTTCTCTGCAAAACTTGAAATTTGGATTAGATTAGTTCCTTTATGCTTGACTTGAATCTTTCATAATATAAAGGAAGGAAACTGGAAATCAAGAAGTTTTGTTGAAAATTTGCTAAACATTATTTTAATATTTTCAATCTAATTCTACAAAAGTATTTTGGGATTTAATGATATTTGGTAACTTTCACATTTAAAGGGAGTGTTTGTGAAAATGAAAATGAATAAATCAAATTATGCGTCGATTTGAACCAGATTCTTACTTTCTGAAGGTATTTCAAGAGAAGTTGTTAAAAAAAATTTCGAAAGTATTTTTAATTTAAAGTACAAAAACAAGAGTCTTTATTAAAAGTAATAAATTCAAGAATGACTCGGTGACTAGATTTTATGTAAACAAAAATGTAGATAAATAAAAATTGAATTATTTTTTATAGTACCTTTAATTGAGGAATCAAGCATTGATTCTCAAAGTAAAGGTGCCCACATTGGATATCAAGATCAAGCGTTTAAGAATTATAATGTGCACACACTAGTTCAGGTCACATTATACAATATAACGGAATAGTTTCTTTAAATCTATCCCAACCCAACGTGTTCAGATGGATCTCATCTGACAGTAATAAAATTAGATCAGTCTCCTCTCCTCCTTACATAACTAATATATCAGATGAAAAAAAAGAAAATTGACAACTGAGTAAATGTCCTGTCAAATTACTTATAATTAATTAATAAGACTTTTTGATCATTGGCGGATTTCCAATAAAATGAAATCGATTTATTTATTTTATCATTAATAAACCTTTTTTGGGGGTATTGTGAGTTTATCGAAAGAAAAATTGGGCCTGATCTCCGTTTTGACATTACAAACAAAACAATAAGATTCGTTATGTTCTGATGCAGAGTTACAAAGATTGTTAGTTGTAGCTTTAACCTACAGGGTGTCCCAATAAACATGGGAATTCAGTGACGAATTCAATAACGTCTTTTAAAATAATTCCTTGATTTAGTATATTGATACCTTCTGAGAATGCTCTAATCCGTAAGATTTTCGTCTGCTATGTTTACAATATGTTTAATTATGTTTTGACTCCAAAAGGGTGTACCTAGTAAAACAAGAAAACTAAAGTATACAAACAAGGTAAGCTTGTCCGTTTTCACAGTTCATCTTGCAGAGACATTTTAGACACATCTTTACAGCCATTTACCGTTTTCATTAAATAAACTCTAGCAGACATAATAATATTATGGCTTTTGAAATTAGGTATTACAATGCTAATTCATAACAATTTGTTATTGAATTCCCATGTTTATTGGGACACCCTGTAGTATTATGTTTCTTTGCCAAGCAATTTATTTGTGTTAACAAGATGTAATGTCGTAAAAACCCGAATACAAACTTGAATCATAGCATATTACGGTTTCTGGTAGTTATTAAAACATATTCTAAAGTGGTTTTTGGATCTAACATATTCTAAAGTGTTTTTTGGATCTAACATATTCTAAAGTGGTTTTTGGATCTAACATGTTCTATAAAGTGGTTTTTGGATCTAACATATTCTAAAGTGGTTTTTGGATCTAACATATTCTGAAGTGGTTTTTGGATCTAACATATTCTGAAGTGGTTTTTGGATCTAACATATTCTGATGTGGTTTTTTGGATCTAACATATCCTAAAGCGGTTTTTGGATCTAACATATTCTAAAGTGGTTTTTGGATCTAACATATTCTAAAGTGGTTTTTGGATCTAACATATTCTGATGTGGTTTTTTGGATCTAACATATTCTATAAAGTTGTTTTTGGATCTAACGTATTCTAAAGTGGTTTTTGGATCTAACATATTCTGAAGTGATTTTTAGATCTAACATATTCTAAAGTGGTTTTTGGATCTTACATATTCTAAAGTGGCTTTTGGATCTAACATATTCTGAAGTGGAATCTAACATATTCTGAAGTGGTTTTTTGATCTAACATATTCTAAAGTGGTTTTTGGATCTAACATATTCTAAAGTGGTTTTTGGATCTAACATATTCTAAAGTGGTTTTTGGATCTAACTTATTCTAAAGTGGTTTTTAGATCTAACATATTTTAAAGTGGTTGATCTAACATATTTTAAAGTGGTCCATATATAATTCCATCCAATACAATCCCAAATGTTGATTGATTGATATGAGGGGCAGAAATTAACAATGTTGTTATTTAAAACAAATGGAAGTAATGATGTCAAGTTGTAGAAAAAATACTTTACTGCAGAATGTATAGTGCAGGGGTGTATTCATGTTTCTGTATATTATAATTTATCTCTTATATTTACTGCAATTTACATCTTTTAAAACCCTAAATATTGAAAACATTTCTGAAGTGTAGCTTACGCGACGGTTAAAAACAATCACTATCTAGTGAATAAAACACATCGATAATGCTAAACAAAAATGGCAAACCACCAAATTTGAATCTGTAAGATAAATTGATCAAGTTTCATTGTTAAGATTGTTGCACATTAAAGCTACTCGAGGGAGGGGTTGCTTGGCCATGATTAACCGCACACATCAACATCTGAACCGCAACTTCGCTATTGCTTTTTACACATATCAAAATCCGAGCCCCCCATTTAAAATTCGGTGGTTTCGGTTGTTAAAGCACGAGGCTAATGACGCCCCTCCCCCCTCGCATATATGGTCTGAAACACGAGCTGTGAACCATGAACTAGAGTGATTTACAATTTGATTGATTATATTCTATTCCAAGTTTTAATGAGTTTATATCTAGGGACGAAATAAAGTTTGTTATAAACCTGTAGGCTAAGTTCTCTAGTATCTAGACTAGATATTGCATTCAGGGATGATACTGAATTATAGATTCCATTATTTGATATGACTGATTCTATAACCTGTAGACTCCATTCTACTAATTATATTGTTTCTTCCTGTAGACTCTATTCTACTAATTATACCATTTCTACATGTTGACTTCATTCTCCTGATTATATTGTTTCTATCTGTAGACTCCATTCTACAGATCAATTTGTTTCTACCTGTAGATTCCATTCTACTTATTATATTGTTTCTAGCTGTAGACTCCATTCTACTGACTAAATTGTTTCTACCTTTAGACTCAATTCTACTGAATATATTGTTTCTATAACCTGTAGAATCAATTCTACTGATGTTTCTACCTGTAGACTCCATTCTACTGATGTTTCTACCTGTAGACTCCATTCTCCTGATCCAGGGCTATGAAGAATAGAGAACCTGGCATCTCTGGTGTAGGTTACTTGTCCATTCGTCAGGATATGATAATCCTTTAATCGGATCCATGAAATCTAAATATGATAATCCTTTAATCGGATCCATGAAATCTAAATATGATAATCCTTTAATTGGATCCATGAAATCTAAATATGATAATCCTTTAATTGGATCCATGAAATCTAAATATGATAATTCTTTAATCCGATCCATGAAATCTAAATATGATAATGTTATTAAAATGAATAGATAAAAATTATCAAATATATGTTCTAGATAAGTGTATAGTTTCATCTATTCGAATATATGGCTTCAATTTAAATAGTTTTATCCAAAACCTTTAAGGTAAAAAGAAACAAATATAAATATTCAACTCTGCTCTTCAACATTTCTTCAAAGTTCTTTGCAAATGTAAATACAAAATATTTGATGAAAACAAATAGACATATTCTTGATCTATAAAAAGTTATAGTTAGTTCGTTTAGAGAGTTCTATAGCTTGGAAACTAAATTTTCGTTTTCCGCTACAAAATTCAACCCAATCTAGAACTTAGAACTCAACTGAAAACATTCCCGTGGGTCGACCGAGTTCACCATTCAAAATGTAAGGCAAAGTCCAGGTTTTCATGAGTTATGATCGGACATTAAAACAAACAAACTAAGGTTACTACTTTATATTTATATAGAAATATTATTTACAATGTTTGCCAAAATTTAAGTTTTGATCAGGTAAAGGCCTATATGGCTCAAATTATGAATTATTTTGGGAGGAGATGGGAGTAGAGAGGGGGGTCTTATTTCTAGAAATTATATAATTCTGTAGAACCGCATTACATAGAAACTTAAGCATATATTGCATGTTCTATTCCTAGCCATTTTCAAGAAAAGACCGTGCAAGAAATCAGATCGAATTGTTGATAGCACGTTAACTGAAAAATTACTCAAAATTGACTATTTTCAGTTTTCAAATAGAAGTTTATAAAGAAAAAGTTAAAAATATATATTTACCCCGTCGTCTTCTATATTTCTAATATTGCAGGATAACCGAGCAGTGGAGCCCTGAGCTACGGTTAAATTCATTCTAGACACACGACTCTCTAGGGCCGCGGATACTCCACCCTAGCAAATATTATATATAAAGATACAGTGAGAACCAGAAAACTTGTAATTCTCGTCGTCTTCAATTTTCTTTAATTATGAAAAATCTCTGAAGAATCTTATATATTGCAACTAAACTATTCTTTAAAAGAGCCCTGAGCTGGGAACAAAAACTTTTGTGTGTGATAAGATCGTATATCCCCCGATCGCTTGATCTCGATATCTGCTTGTAATATGAGGATATCTTTAGTTCAGTTATTCCTCCTAGTCCTGGGTTGGATTACCATGCGGGATATAGAACAAAGATTAAATTAATCTGCAGATTAACAAAAGATCAAGATCAAGCATTGATCCCGATATACACAATACAATTGAGTTACCAACTCTGAACGTTTTTAGACTTTTATCATTTGCAACTATTACAAATTACAATTAATCCTTCGCGGCATTTCTGAAGTATAAGAAAAAAAAGTTTTCTGGTTCTCACTAAAAATGTGAATTGCTAAATCTGAATATGGAGCACATGATATGAAATAAGTCTTATAACGTTATAATTATAAGATTATTAATACCATCGATCTTAGGTACCCAGATTTGCCAGAAAGTAAAGTAATTAATTGTAAAAAATTAAATATTTATATAATTCAAAATACAAGAAGATTTAAAAGCCCTTTAAAAACATACTTTCAATTGAAAGTAGAAAAATTTAGAATTAAATTCTTATCTGGAAAATTTGGTAATAAAAATATTATCTAAATAAATCTGATTCTGTAAATCTTATCCGGATAAATCTGGCTCTGAAAATCTTATCTAAATAAATCTGATTCTGTAAATCTTATCTGGATAAATCTGGCTCTGAAAATCTTATCTAAATAAATCTGATTCTGTAAATCTTATCTGGATAAATCGGGATCTGAAAATCTTCTATGAAACAGTAACTAAGAATAATTACCATTAGGTTGCAAAGATATACGGACCGAAAAATTAGAGTTTGAGATCAGTGTTCTCTTGTTTTACCTGAAGGTACTGGTTTATCTGCAGGCTAGATTCTGAAAGCTGGAGAACTAAGAGAACTAAGAGAACCCCCAAAACAAACATCGTCTGAAAAATGTGAGAACTAATCACAGAGTATTTATATTCAAGCTGTGCAGGTCCCTGGAGGCAACTTTATCATATCAACGTTCATATTTCATATTTCATGCCCTGCGCACTCCAGGACAAATATTTATGTTCTCATTAATATTATTTCTTTTCTATTAAAGGGATTGTTAACAAATTTGGATCATTTGGTAAGCTACCAGTCTATGGTTTCTTAGAATAATGACAGAGAAATGAAAGGAGAGATGCACACTGCATCCGTTTTTCGTCCGGAACTCACATTTCACCCCAAGCTCTCGTCAGTGTGCTCACCTATTTGTCGCCAGGAAATGTATAGAGGTAAAATATAAAGTTATTTCAGTGAAATCTGAGATAAAATAAAATCCGCTGTCAACAAAATAAAACCTTCCCATTTTACCTTTAATGAGGTTTTTTAAGATATGTCAATCGTAACACTTCCAACTCTAACAACTTCCAAAGTGGTATAATTGTAATTACAATAAATAACGAAGGCAAAAAAGTATTTCAAATACTCTTAGACAAATAAAACAATTTAAAGATAATCTCAAAGTAAATTTGAGTTCCTCGTCAAAATCAAATGAGCCTTAACTTTAGAACCCATTTGCATTCATTAAAATACGGATTTTTGCGTTTTTACTTTTTTGTTTGACTATGTATTCTAAATATTATAACGTTTAAAGTTTTTACAATATTTTTAAAGGATTTTTAATTAAAAATCACAATATGACTTGAATGTTCCATCACAGATAATATGTTGTATGGTTAGCTTTAAGTGACCTAAAAATTTGAACAAAACAGAAAATATTTATGATTCTACAATATCCTGGATATCACGGCTAAAAGAAAGCCGCCGTTTTGGTTAAAAGAAATTCAGTAACTTAAAGATATTTTTAATTATTCTACGTCATGTCTACACTTTCAGTAAGAAAAGTTAGTTGATTTGTTATTCTTTAACATTATCATTTGATAATTATTCGTCTGTTCAGAGCTTTATAAAGTTTATCAACAAACCATAATCAATAAAGATTGTATAAACAATTATCAGAAACTTTGGTAGAACCAACCTGATGTCCAAAAATGATTACTAATTTGCTTCAAAACAAAAGCATAAGTTTCTATTAGTTTCATGCATAAATAAAACTTTATAAATATAAAAAGCTTCTGAAACTCTAAAATGCAGGGTATTTCCTGCTAATAAAAAATGTATGTAGCTCCATGCAAACATTATGCTAGCATAAAAAAATGCATGTAGTTGTGTGCAAACATAAATGTTTGTAGCTCTATGTAAACATTAAATGTATGTAGCTCAATGCAAACATGAATTTTATATAGCTCTATGCATAAATTAAATGTGTGTAGCTCTATGCAAATATTAAATGTATGTATCTACATGCAAAGGTGAATTGTATGTAGCTCTATGCAAATATTAAATGTTTGTATCTACATGCAAAGATGAATTTTATGTAGCTCTGTGCATAAATTAAATGTATGTAGCTCTATGCATAAATTAAATGTATATAGCTTTATGCAAATATTAAATGTATGTAGCTAGATGCAAAGATGAATTATATGTATCTCTATGCATAAATTGAATGTATATAGCTCTATGCAAGTATTAAATGTATCTAGAATCTAGATACATTTAAAATCTGTTAATGCATGTAGCTCAGCAAATGATGATATGTTAATTCTATTTAGCTCTATGCAAACATAAGATCTATATGTGGCTCTATGCATAAAATGCATGTAGCTCCATGCCATGAAATTGTACACTACTACATTATATGCATGTAGCATCATGTAAGCATAAAATGCATGGAGTTCCTTTAAGAATAATTGTATGGTGTAGCTTTATCTATTGTTAAGATCAAAAGCATGAAGCTAAATGTAAGCATAAAAAATAAACCATGTGCTTTAAATAGCATCATTCAAACCGTAGGAAATATCAGAAGCATACTGAAACTATTTGATAGATATACGAAACTTCCTTTAACCACAAAATATATGAACATTGAAAATATCTGACTCATTGAATTGAAATAACTTACATCAAGTAAAAAAGTAATGAATGAAAGGGCAAGTTTTATTAAGTTTCCAAGTTTTCCTGGGCCCCCCTGGACGGCTCTGGATCAATTATTACTAAATTATGATTCCATAGTTTCTTTTCCGTTCCGAGACATTGATAGAGTATTGGAGTAATACTCACAATCACAGTCAACCAAAAATCACAGTCACGCAAAAATATTTTACCAAAGCTACTCCTGTTCAAGGATTTAATGCAAGGAAAGTTATTTCAGAAGTGTACACATCTTTTGTACTGCAGTGTACTGTCTCTGGGCGGTAATGTAAACACAAGACGGATGTCAAAGCCTGACATGGGATCCATCTTTCACATAAAAAATCAATGAAATATTCTGTCATAGGAAACTATTATGTGAATTATCAAAATTATCAAAATTTAATGCTTTCAACCTCCTCGGATACTAAACGAACACTGATGCATCTGTTATTGTTTACAAATTCCACCCAAAGAGAACTGGTTTCAATGTGTACGCAAAGTATACACGACCGCAATTATCTTTCCTTGCGTTACACCCTTGCTCCTGTTTAACTGAATCTAGAGCACGTTTCAATATATCAATGGACTTCGAAAAAGAATAAGTTAGTTGGTCAGTGGCCGAATTTAAAGAATTTGAGCGGCGGTTTAAATTTAAGCCACCGCTTAAATATGGTTGGTTCCACTTAAAATTGTATCAAATGTTTCAAGATTTAAGCCGGCGCTTAATTTAAACCGGGTTTTGGCAGATTTAAACCGTGGCTCAAATTCTTTAAATTCCATCTCAGATAAAACCAAAAGACAAGAACGTGCAACACCTCAAAGTCGAGTAGGGGCGGATTTAACCAATATTTCAGAGAGGGGACCATTTTGGAGCCCCCCCCCCTCAAGGCCCACCCCCTAAAAATTGAATAAAACGCAGTAAATTCCAATTTCTTCTTTTATAAAAAATAAGAGTCTACAAAATCAAACTAAATACATTGTTTATTTCATATCATGAATTTCCTTAGGAGGGGGGGGGACCCCCTCCTCCAGGAGGGGGGGGGGGGGGGTGTTGGCCGGCTCCCCTTCTAATCTGCCCCTAAGGTCGACCTGGACCATGAAAATCGATGCATAAATGACATAGCTCTCTAAATTTCTGGTCAATCTGAAGACATCAGAATACTGGTAGCTGGTGGTTTGTTTCAAGTGTCGATAAAGTATTTATAATTTTCAAACTCGTTCGTGAGAGGAAATTATCTTGAAATTATCACAGGGATATTATCATGTTATAACTATTAAGAAAAACTAACAATTTTTACCTTTTTTAGATTAAATTTAATTTATTGATTTTGTCACAACCTTAACATCAATTTGATTGAAATTAATTGATTACTGTCCTATTACTGTAAGTTTTATTTATCTTTGCAACATGATGCAGTGTAGAAGGGAAATGCTCGATTCACAACGGTAACCTTTAAAGCTTTGTCTGATCAAGTATGAATTAGATATAGATGTTCATAATTTTGAAAATCAATTATTTGTGGTTCCTCTTAGAAGTTACTTGCGCATTTCTAGTGCAGGAAAAAATAAAGCAATTATCAGAATTAAACACTTTACGCCTTAAAAACGACAATTTATTTCATATTATTAATTTAATGAAAGTATCGTTTTGAGTCGGGCAGTGCAATATTTGCATGGAGGGTCATTTGTAGAAACGTATTTAAAAATTTAGTTCCGATATACTTGGGTTTAACTTCTTCGTCAAGCAATTTTGAAATTTCTCAGGGCCTCAAGAACTTAGATAAACTTAGATAAATTTTCCTAACCGTTAACGAATGGGTTTTAAAAAGTGACATGCTCAGTCCTAAGAAGTTAAAACATTTCTTCACTTATCCATTTCCTAATACCTAACTAAAAAGATAACTCTGATTAGTGAATCATGGGAAAAAGATGTTTTTATCTTATTTTGGTTCATTTAACCGTATTTACTAATATCGGACTTTTTAGTTATTGAATAATCTTTATATTCAAAACTGGTAAAAAGTTGAAAACTTGAAAGAAGTTCTAGAAATTGTAAACATATTTCTATTTTCTCCTCCTCCTCAAATATCGATATTTCAACCTGCAAGGATTTAGTTGAGGCTTCAAGGTTCAGGTTGGACGTTTCACTTTAAACTATTTGTCTGTATTCCTCTCCAAATAGTTACAATAAACATCAAACCTAAATCTAGATTTAACCGCGAAACTTAATATTAGTTTAAAAGAATCCGGCTTTATTACTGAGCAACCTTCCTTGACTTTCCAGACATATGACACCTTGAAGCTTTTTAAAATCCTGTTTGATATCCACGACATTCCTGACATCTTTGACCTCCTTGGAATCATTGACCTAACAGAAATCCTTAATTTCCCTGACATTCCTATTTCTTCCCAGACATCTTTGAACTCCCTGACATCCTTGAACTTCCTGTCATCCTTGCCCTCCCTGACATCCTTGTCCGACCTGAGATGATTAACTTTCTTGACATACTTAGCCTCCTAAATATATGTATCCTTCCTAAACTAGATAATATCATAGACCTTCCACCCATACTTGTATTTATCCTTCTTAACCTACATAGATTATACAGGGTGTCCCACGAAACATGACAGTAGCCAGCAGAACTGAAGGTCGTCTTTGATCTTTGAAATAATTTGCGGCATTTATTCGTACACCTATTTTTAGAAGTAAAATTCTTTAGTTAATAATTGGAAAATACCCCTAGTCTTGGCATTTTCAAAATGCGGTCTGCCTTTTTTGTGCTTTCAATATTACCGGAGATATAAAGAATTTTGTTAAGATTTTGACATTTTAGTTTTGTTTAATAAAATTGAAATCTGGACGAAACACTTAATATCTCATTCTCAGGTATATTGACAGCAGAAAAAAAGTTAGACCACATTCAGTTTAAGTGACAGGACTATAAGTATTTTGTAGTTATATGAAAATAGGTTGACGACTGAATGTCACAAATAAATTTCAAGATCAAAGACGACTTTGCTACTGTAATGTCTCGTGGGAAACCCTGCATGATAAAACTTCTTGATAATTCAAATAAAAACGAAAACGGAATGTTTAGAGAATTCAACATATTTCAAAATTGTTTCCATCTATTTCACTTTGTAAAATCTTGACTTTGGCAAAAGATATAACCCGATGATTTGACCAGTAAAATATCCAGAGCCCAGCTACAACATTTGTCTACGAAATTATCAC